TGCATAAAGCATATAGAGATGCCGGGGAAATTTTCATGCAAATTAACCGATGAATGTAATGGTCCAGACAAAGCCAGAGCAGGGACGCATATACGAACCAATAGAATTAATTGAAATAGAAGCAAAGGCCGTTCAAGGAGCGTGGCTGCTGCATTATGCAAGCCGTGGTATAAGGATCGAGAGGACGCGGTTCAGGACCGCAGAATATTCAGAAGCTTTCAGGGCTGCAAGCTTTATTCAACCTTATATATATATATATATACATATAGATAATACAGTACAGACTGTGTACTGCATTTCCCCTTTGCAGTTTTAATGCAATTACTCAACTTTGATTATTCGCGTTATTGTTATGATCACGTCGCCAACAAGTCTGAGGTAGCAGACTGAACTACAGATTCCGGTACACCCAGTTTATAGGGTCTGAATAAATTGATATTAAAATATAATGTCGAACTGTCTTTTATTGCTAAATTCAATATGTTATGGGAATAAAAGAAAAACCTTGGTAAGGGATCTCAGCTTCAAGGACACAGAGAATGAAGTGTGAATTGATTATTATGAGAATCAGAGACTATTATGAATTTTATGGCCGAGCGACTTTAGGCACTTTTTTTATGTTCCCTTATAGGTTGGCAAATGGGAAATTGGGAAATTTTTACTTGGTTCCAATATACGTTTCCCATTAGACGACAGTAAACGTATTATTTATGATAGCATCGTGATTGAACCCTTCTGGTCATTTTTCTTCTTGTTACGAACGATGTGAATTTTTTTTTATTTTCGAGTATAAAGCAGATTTTTTTTTTTTCTTTAATGAGAAAGTAACTAGCACTTTGTATTATGTTGAGGTGATAGTGAAACAGAGACTGATAATTTTATCGGTTTGCGGGGTTGTAAGAGATTACGAGGGGGTGGAAGGAGTGGGGGGTGGTTCAGGAAATTTTTACGATTCGACCCACCGGTCGGGCAATTTCAATTAAAGACGTATTAGTGAAGCGCAGTCGTTTACGCCACCAGAACTTTATCTTGTCCGTCGATGAGAAAGTTTCTTGAATATAAATTCAAGATAAGAAGAAAAGAGAAAATATCGAGATCCTGATCGTTTAGTCTTTTAAGGAAACTCCTTAAGGGTGAGTCATGGTATAAGAAGGGTTGAAAGCTGCAGATTCCGTGGCTCAAGGCTGAGCGAAGCTACCTCCTGTAAAACTAGCTTGGACCCTCAAAGCTTTTACTCCGAATATCACTTGGGTTTTGCAAGTGTTGCAAAGTGTTGGAATAGCGGCGGAGGGGCGGAAGGAGGGGAGGTGAATGGATGAAAAAGTCAGAGCCTAGAAACAGTCGCGTTAAGAGATCCGATTAGTCCAATATTTCGGACCTATCCATCGGAATAGGATTTATAATGAAAATTTACAGCGTCCCGACGCCACTAGACGATGCTTTCACGGTAGCTTTAAACGGAGTTCGACGTCCTCGTTACAGCTGTTAAACCACAACAGTTTACGTGTGTTCATTACTTGGATCAGTCATATAGCTATCATGTAATTTAGTAGCTATAGATATAGATACAGTTAAAAGTATTTATAAATACTTTTGTAATGGTATATAAATCCGTATATAGTAAGAATATTTGAATGGCTGCCATATTTGAGTAACAAAACGTTGAGGTTTGGAAGTCAGAAAGCAACGAGGAGGGACGAGAATGAAAATAGAGAAATACAGAACGATAAAGTCCTCATAAGGAAAATCGCGGGAGACTGGAGTATCCTTGGAATTGAATTTGTGGAAAGCTGCCAACATGTTCGGATCTTTTTGTTTCACCGTGAAAACAGCTTTTCGCGACTCGTGCCTTGTACTGTTTATCGATTCTCACAGGCGATATCCCGGAAGACCCTTATGGTTGCGACTGTGTCGAAGCATGTAAAAGGGTCGAGGAAGAACTTTAGATTGCCATTGGGACATTTAGGTTTTTTTTTTCTTTTTTTCATTAACATGGAGTCGATTAAGTTTCATTTTTTTTATGGGGTCTCACCAGGTACGTGTATATTAGCTGTGGTTGCAGCGTCCAGAAGACCGATAAAACTTTTTCAATAGAAACGTTCGAGGAAATTTCTTTTTTTTCGTTGCTCACGTTTTTTGTCTTCTCTCTCCAAGAGCGCTTCGTTAACGAGGTACGAATTTTTCGTTTTACACTTTTTCATTCTCTTACGCTGTAATGCACTCTCGCTGTAGTACAGTGTTCTCAAATCTACATTTTTCATTCGCTCGGACGATACCCATCGCGCGTACAGGATAGGTGCAGCCCTGAATTTTATTCGATGGAAGTTTTCAGTCGCTTCAGATTCGAGGGGAATCGAAAATTTCGGGAACAACATGGTGACTTTCAAGGGCGAGTAATTTGGCAAATTTATTAAAACTTTTCAATCTGGTCTTTACTCAATGACCCACGTTTCACTCGGCTGAACTCTGAACTCGTAAAATTGATCAATCTCTCCCCAGATGTTCATACCTTTACGAAAATATTTTAAGCAATTTTGAATAATTTCAAAATCTCTAAAATATCACAGGCTCTGTAATAAAAATTCAAATTTTTTATCCGAAAAGTTCGAAAACAAAAAGTGTCGAAAAAATTTTACTCAAGACGCACGGCTCATGCGACTTATCGTGCTTCGCCCAATCATTGATAAATGCCTCGAGCCCAAAAGTGACCTTTGGTCCCATCAGCATCCGCGAGATAACCTGATTTTGCACAACCCATTTCAAATTGTCGAAAGTTACCGGGAAACCCTGTATCTAGCCAAGCCCTTCTCTCAGCCAATCCTGGCCAATCTTGCGATGCCCGCAATCCAGCCACCCTACGATCCATAGGGGTCCATTCTTGCCGATTAACCCTCCGAACACTCTGAACCTATCCCAGCTTCCTGACCAAGTTAGGCAGAGGCCCACTTTGATATAACAGATCTTAGAACCGTGAGGAGAATAATCTTGCAAAACTTTCCCCGAATCCTGTGGGATGCTGGAGTCATCCTCATCCAGTTTCAGGGCAACAAAGAACTTGTTACGTAACGCGTATAATTTCCCTTTTTTATCTCAAGCTCCATATTTCCCATGTCATCCACGCTGAATCGTACGTGCAACTTGCATACGTGTATGAATATGACGTAATTGCGATATGCAGCAATTTTACAAATGTCCTCCCTGAAGCGTTTCATGACACGGAAGCTGCTCGCTGTGCTTGTCCAATTATCAAAATACAATCTTCGTCCTCTCGCTATTGCTAATGGAATTTACGTTGATTCCTGGATTACGTCAAACTGGATTCGCGTAAATTTCTATCACCACTATTCTCAAACGCTAATGGATCCTCGTTTCGAGTATTTTCGAGTATCGAATGATGCCATTCCTACTAGCTCGTTGGGGTCCTCGGCAACTTCACCCTACACACATATAGCCACTGAAATCAAGCCAGTGCTCGACGATGCACGTAAAGTGCACGTTACAGAATGCAACTGCACTATTCTCGCCGGGAGTGACGAAGCCAAGCGTAACCGGACCGCCAAAAAAAATAGATGAATAAAACGATATATGCTCATGGAAAACCAGTCGAAAAGTGTTAGACTGCATTTTTCGAGCGGTGCATCGCGATTGCAGTTTTATGCACTTTTGCCAAATAATTTTTCATGAATTTTCAGCAGCACCTCTAAAGTCCCCGTAAAGCCTTTTCGCAACGGGATGAATGATGAATATTAGCGCAAAAATATTAAAAAGAAACACGTCCCGTTATGCAACTTTCCCAATTGCACGTGTTATCTAACGCAATGCGAAGTTTCTGCATAATTATGCATTAGCTCGTTAATAATAATTAAACTGACGTCATAGAGTCCAATCAGTGACAGGATCATTCTGCGTTTCAAAGTACTTCGAGTATTATACAGTCTCGTTAAAAGTGTCACACATGACTCCGGCTGGCACGTCACAGCACAGCGAGCACCCACGTACACATACACTATTTCTATCGGCGCCTCGTTCGGCTTTGTCACAGTTTAATATATTTAAATATCGAATTATTTATTGCACCTGCTACTTTCAGACTCCATTACGATATTAAACGGTAGCCGATTTCATGTGACTAATTAGAAATTATTCTTCATGGCTGACCTTGAAAATCCTAAAAGTCTTTGTTGCACAATGGCTTTATGACTTATGCAAATTTTATAATGAGTCACTGTATATGTATACTCCGATAATGAAATTGCCAGTATGCTAATTCCAATCTACGTCACGAGGGTCAAGACACCATAGTACGTTTTTCCAACGCTATACGCTGCATCCTCGTAAGGGTGACTCCGGACCGTAACGTTATTACACGCAGAAAATTTAAACGGGTTACGGTAGGAGAAGTGGCTGGAGAAAACTCGTAAAGTCGAGCGCATTCTGGAATACGAATAGGGCGATGTGCTCGTTACGGTGTATCAGTTGATGAAGAGAGAATATTTAAGCATTTTTCTTTTCTTTTTTTTTCATTCTATTATTTTTATTTCGTTCGCAAACGCCTCATTTCCCACGGAAATAGAGTTTTCGGTAACGCGAAGTCTCCTAGACGGAAACGCGCGTTGAGTCTGCCATCCGTTGGCTGAAGTGGATTGAAAAATAAGTTTGAGGCCCTTTTTTTATGCTACTTTAAAAGTAGCATAGTGTAGTAGTAGCATGAAAAGTACTAGAGAATTTTTGACGATTCCAGAATACCGGAAGTTTTGATTGTTATTAATGCACGGGTATTACTATTTTGAAATAACTGTTTAATTAATCGAACAATTCATCCGTATTATTGTATCTCATTGGGATGTTTATATATGCGAATACACAAAATGAAGCGAAAAAGTGGATATATGAAATTGTATGGAAATTTGACCGAGTATGGAGACTGGATGCTGTGGTATATATTAATAAATTCAGTTGACGAGTAATCCAATTAAAGTGTAATTTTGATCTTTACTCACGAGATTTAATGGAAGTAAACGCGTGGCGAAGTCTGCGTTAACGTAGAGGAACGATTTTCCGGCTTGAGCTTCTTTCACACTTCGTCAAACAGTCCAATAGTAGTGCGATTCGAGTGATTAGGTAGTTGAAACAATTTATTTAAAAAAAAAAAGTAGAAACCGAGTAATTATGAAAAACCAATCGTAACGACTTTTCCGTAAGGTACCGTTTTGAAAAAATTATTATTTTTTTGTCTTTATTTTTTTCAACCTCATATATTTCGATGAAGTGCCTGCGAGTGCGTGTCGGGGCGCGGACTGAGCGAAGGAGAGATTCTCGTCTACGTTTTCCACCCTGGCGTCCCACCAACCCTGGCTACCCCTGGGCGTCCCGACGCTTCACGTCCCGCCGTCAGCGCCAACGCCCTTGCGCACTGGAATCCTTGACGTCCTTCGCACCATACGGAATTCCGATGCTTCCCTTTTTCATATTTTTTGTTTGGCTACCTATATAAAATTCGACTTTCTTTTTTTTTTTTTTTTTTTTTTTTTTTTTTTTTTTTTTTTTTTTTTTTTTTTTTTTTTTTTTTTTTTTTTTTAAACCGACCCACTTCGATTCTTACTTTCTTTTCTGGATTTTCCAATTTAACATTTTGTTTGTTTCTTTTTGGCTATTTTTGTTATTCCAAGTCCAACAACGCGTTACGAAGGGGTGTAGTAAATTATGCCTATACCGGTGTATTTGTTTGTACAGGAGATATTGGTAGCTCAGGGATAACGTATTACTTGTTATTTTGGTTTTCCTCTCTTTCCGTTTTTTTTTTTTATTCGGGGAAACAATTTTGGGAGTAGAATTGATGGGATTGTTCAGAGGCTGAGAGTGTGCCGAGTTGTGGTATCAGTCACTCGGAAATCGATCCCGCGAGAGTATCTCTGTTGTTTCGTGTCCCTCTGGGTCATTATTTAAATTTTGATTTTAACCAGAAACCCGGGAAAATATGTAAATCGTCAAACTTCTCCCTGCTCTTGGCTGTAGCAGCGAAACCTCCGGCACAAAAACAGAGAGGAGAAGAGTATCGTGACGTATCTTGGACAATGTCCCGAAGGTGAAAAAAAAACAACAAATGCGCTACCCGGTAGGATCTGAAGTTTCATATGCGCCACAAGGGCAAATTTACTATGGAAAATTAAAGGCTATTTTCATTTTTCTAATTTTGTATGTTCATGTTGCAATTTTTTTTTCTATATACTCACATAATGCGTCAGCATTCTTTTCAATTCGAGCACCGTGTATACATCCATTATATTTCATGCTGCCACAAAGCTCTTCGTCTCAACGGTTCTTTGATCTTGACAGGTAAATTATGTTCTGTCTCCTCTTTACATATACAGTGCATTACATAACCATTTACTTAGTAATGGCCGGCACACGGTATACCAGCTTTCCACATATGAACCAATCGCTTATGAAAAGTGGATCAATTAAAGTTCCTGTGGATTTTGTAGTATGCTCAAAAGTTCTCTGAACGAAAATTCAGATCGGTTGGTCCATACACTAGCATGTGTGCGGATGCTGGGCTAATTAAAAGTTTCTCACTGGAGAGCTCGAGTTCGTCAAATAGAGTGAGTGAGAACGTCACGAAGTGTTCGTTGACAAACGTACCAGCTGAAGTTGGACGCGATTCAACGATTCGCTTGATTGAGGCAACGTGACCTCGTTAATCAAATTAAAGAATGAGAAGTTACTGATAACTTTATGACGTAAGCCTTAATTATTTTTAATAACACCAAACTTCTCTCACTTTCGAAATCACCGATTTGCAGCCAACTTCAGCCGATACGTTTGTCATGGACTCTTGGATTGTACGTGTGTGTGTATCGAATACACAATGCATTCGAGTCAAATCGATTCTCTATTTTAGGAAACGCAAACTATACCTTTCCGAATCACTCGTTTCCCTCTGTCTACGTATACCAGGAAAAAAAAAAAGAAAAGAAACAAAAATACATGTATTTTATCAAACGGTCGTTCAAGGGGTAAAGTCTGCCGGGATTGAAATGTAATTTTACTAGCACGTTGGTAGGAATGTCTACCAATTATTTACCTGTCTGAAATTATTAATATTACTTCTATAGATTTTGTCTGTCATTTCGGGGTTGTCTATGTTAGTCAATTTCTACCCCTCCCCCCCTCACTTCTTGTCACCGTATAAGACTTGTATGTATAATGGACCGAATTAATTAGTCAGACAGAAATGGTTTATCTACTGCTATAGAATATGGAGTCCTGCTATCTGTATATGTAACACGAACCCTTAGCCCCCTCACAATTCGCCGCTAAGTTCGCAGCTTTCAGTTACATCCGTTCACGGTTAATGGAATTAACCATCCAGGTCGAGGCAGATTTCAATCTTAATTATCGAGCTTAGGTCCTGCCATGATCAGCTCTTGTATTCGGTACATTGGTAATAGCGCGAAACTTTCTTAATATTCATTTATGACGCAGTCCCTGCCCTGACGATACTCACCCTTCTGTCTTTTGAGATTACTTAATTTTATTTTTCATCCCCACAGAATCTTATCCAGTTTGAACGATTAATCTTCCTCGAGGCTGCGTATTGCTTGAGAAGTAACTTGAACTCGAGAGTAAAAAATGGTTAAAAGTAAGTTAAATATTTATTTGAGAATTTTCCATTGTCTTAAATGGATTTTTGGTTAGAGTTGATTAAGGTTTTTTTTTTTCAAATTTTCTTCATGTATAAAATTTCATGTATCTCAGGGACTTACTGGGTATAGTCTAATTGCTATGTGTCTAATAAAATAGTAACTCGAGTTTTCGAAGAGCAGCTTGTCTGACAACGTAAGCAATAAAGTACTCGTTACGGCATGTGACGTCGAGAGGAGTAGGGGGGTTGGTACCGAGGTAGACGTAGAAAGGTAAGTGTGAAAAGACAGGAGGGAGGGGGCGGGGGGTGTTGCAATTAAATTTTCCTACAAGCAAAAAGCATTGCGAAGGGTCTAAAATAGTCTGAGAGGTTGTAACTTTCGTTGGGATGAGTCGTGGGGGCTGAGAGAATGGGTAAGGGTGGAAATGGAGGGTTGGCAATGCTTTAATCAAATTGGTTAAATGAATTGAGTATTCCTGAATGACAAGCAAACGTACTGACAGACGTCTGCGACTGGCTTTGCTTGGCAAATACCTACGTGGCCTACTGTCGGATCTTTATATAGAAAGAGTACTCACTGCGTTAAGGGTAGCGAGACTGGAAGGTTGAAACTTTCGAACGGAAACAGTTCATGGCAGGGATGTCTTGAATTGGGACTGTAGTTATATCTGAGAATCTCTCGAGTTATATTGGATTTTACTTAAGCTTTGACAGAATGTCTCTTGCTAGATACTTGTTACGTACTAATTGTCTTGGTTCACATCGCCCTGATCCCTTTTAGGCCTATAACGATTCCTCTGATAAAAAGTGAGCGATATATCGGAAAAACCTTGAATGACTACGGACAGTTAATTAATCGCATCGGATGACAGCTGTCATATCTAATTGCTCATTCAAATTTTTTTTAAGCAGCTGTCATTATAAAATTTATCAAACTATGTCAACTGCTTGTTATTGATTATACGATAAGGCAATTTGTGCTTGACAAGGGTAGCAATACATGTAATGCGTATCTGCGAACAGGATGATATCAGTTCACCCCTTTTTCGGGGAAATCGATTAACACGATCCTCGCGCGAGAAAATTATTAGGACGCAGGCAACTCGAAGAATAATAACGAGACTGGTATGGATTGGATGCCGCTCGGGGTAGGTTCCAGGGGGTAGTTTACTAAGGGTTGTCATGGACGGAAATAGAGGGGAAAAATTGGAAACTTGTACAGCGTCTCGTCCTTCCGATTATTCGTGAAAATAGTCTCCCACGATTCGGATCCTCTTCCAGGGCTGATAAGCAAATCCACCCCTTCATTAGAACCAGCCCGTTTTAGTTAGAATGACAAAACAGGAGACTGACAATTAAACGAAAGGACGTGTAATTACTGATCAACCCTTTAAATTGTATGGAAGAAAAGTAACCCTCAATGAAATGTACTTGGAAACTTTCAAATACGTAATTTTTATTTTATTTTCATTGAAATTCAAGCCAAGCGTGATTTCGGTAAATGTGTGCGTAAGGGATGGTGAAAAGTTTTCGGCATTGTCTGCGAACCTAACTTTCGTCTCAATCAGACGAAAATCCTTATCCGGTACCCTTCGAAGAATCCTTCACCCTTAAATCCTGGACGACCTTTCCGTTCGGATTCGTTCCTGGACGTCGGGACTTTACTTTTCCCGAGTCACTTTGTATGCAGTCCTGGCAAGATTGGGAATACATTCACTGCCACGCCAGACTAGAATTTCCCAAAACAAGAAACGCTTCCGGTTGAAATTCCTTCGGGCCGGTACCAGGGAACTTCGCCCTTACGATCATCCCAATTCCTATAGCTATACGTCATTCCGTGTAACTTGTTCCGTTGTGTATCTTTCATAATCAACCCCCCTTAACATTGAATTTCAAATCTTCCTACAGTTTGTCTGCAAGTATAAATTATCTGTTTTATCGTATGCAAAATTTCTCGAATATCAATATCGTATATTTTATACATAACAAACTACCCCGAGATACACGTGTGACTTTGTATGGGGTTGTAATTCACGAGGGGGGAGATGACTTTCAGAATTGGCCGGTAAGGGTGGATCGGTGCTGGGGTGAGAAATCACTACCAATCAGCGTACATTGCATGGTCCTCTTGAACCATTGTCTCAACAAACCTGGGCAAGACTCACGACCGGGTTAACTGGCTTGTAATTGAGCGCGTTGGGTCTGACTATGGATGTTCGTATCCACTGGCTGCCTATTCGCGTCTATTGTCACTGGACGCTGCTCGTTCACTTGCTGTAGCATAGATCTGAGAAAGCAAGCTTGTTCCCTGGATACGATGAAAGCAGCCGGTTGTCGAAGGACTTTTTTTTCGAAAAGCTTGAAACCAGTTGCATGAGATTATCCCATGCATATAGCGACCCATTACGAATAACATGGAACAGGATGAAATTTGGCTTTGGTAAAAGTATCGTTGGTCTTGTCGAAAAAGGTAACAACGTGAAAACCGAAAATGACGTTTTTTCTTATACCTTCGTAATTCAGTAATTTCACATACGCCTTACGGAACAAAGAAAAAATGATAACGCATTATCACGTGATATCAATTTTCGCAAGGAAAATCTCTTAGTTGTATATGACCTAATGAGAAAAGTCTTTTCCACAA